ATCCCGTCCCCCCGCGCTCCCCCATCCCGTCTCCCTGCAGGCGTGGGAGAGTGCCTATGGCCTGCAGCGGGGCTCCCTCCTTCCGCCATCCCCGCTCCCCTTTCCGCCCGACCTTCCCCCTCCCCCTCATCTCGCTGACTGCGCCGCCCGTACTCTTGCGCGGGAGGCGGCGGAAGGGGGACCGTGGCGAGGCACAGGGGGAGGAGGGGGGGATGGGATCCGCTGGGAGGACACGTGGCAGCAGCAGACTGGTGGTCAAGAGGAAAGCCTATCCGAATGCTGTGATCGGTTGCCTCCCCGCACTCCATGGGTATGTAATATGATGACTTTTGAGTCGACTCAAAAGTCCTCCCCGCACTCCATGGGTATGTAAAATGATGACTTTTGAGTGTGGGGAGGCAACCGATCACGACTCAAAAGTCCTCCCCGCACTCCATGTGTAAGTAAAATCGTTTGACTCGTGAGGTTCGTCTCTGCTTTTCTGTAGCCTGTTATTAACGCCTGTGACTCGCAAAGTATAGCTTGAACAAGTGAAGGCCGGGAGGACACCCTTCAACTTCCCCCACCCACTCTTCCCCCCTTCACCGCTTACTCTCTCCCCTCCTCCTCCCCGCTCCTCTATTCCCCCTCCCTGGGCTCCCCCCTTCCCTCGCCTTTCTCTCCCTCCTCTCTCCCCTTTCCCCTTCCTCCCTGCCCCCTCCCATCCTCGCCCCCTCCCCTTTCCCCGCCTCCCTCCACCGCCATTCCTCAGCGCACAAGCGCTTCAACTCCCACCCCCCTTCCCCCCGATCCCTGTCCCCCGACTCCCCTTCCCCTTAACCCCCTCCCAGGTGCACGGCACGGATGCAGCCAATCTCGCGCTGACACGTGTCGCACAGCGGGACATCTGGGCTCACCAGATGCTGGCGTCAGCAGCAGGAGGAGGGGGAGAAACTTGTGAGGGGAGGCGGTTGCTGGTTGTTCCGTGGATGCCTACCAACCGCCACGTCAGCGCCAACCCATTCCACGTCATTGCGAGGCAGATCCACGTCATGGCGGATTTCCTGGGGCTAGCAATGCAGCACAACCGCACACTGGTCCCCCTGCCTGGCAGCTATGGGCCAGCTCTCAACAGTGATTGCCGGGGTGGGTGATTGTAGGGGGGGTGTATGTAGGATGGGGTGGGTCTGTGAATATAGGAGGGGACGTGATAATGATGAGGAATGTGGTTTTAGGGAATGTGACTGGTAAGGCGTGAGGTGCGCCTCTGCTCTCTTTTGTTTGAGGTTGATTTTGTTTGAGGTTGAGAATTCTCAAAATCAACCTCAAACAAAACGATGAGGAATGTGGTTTTAGGGAATGTGACTGGTAAAGGCGTGAGGTGTGCGTCTGGTCTCTGCGTAATCTTCTCATTCACCCACCCCACCTGCTTCCCCCTCTTTCTGGTTTCCCTGTATTTCTGTGCGCGTGTCACACGTGTGAATATAATCATGCAGAGTTGAACCGAACAGGCGAGTGGACGTGGTTCTTCTTCCCCCTCGCCCATCCCGCCTGCCCCTCTTTGTGTGCCCCCGGGTGTGCCTCTGTGCTTCTCTGTGTGGACTCTGTGTGTGCTTTTTCTTCCCCCTCGCCCACCCCGCCTGCTCCTCCCAGAGTGCGCCCCTCTGATATTCTCCTCCTCTCCCTGTATTCCTCTGCTTGTGACTGTATCACATGCAGAGCTGAACCAAACAGCCGAGTGGATCTGCTTCTTCTTCCCCCTCGCCCACCTCCCTTACGCTCCTCCCTGTGTGTGTCTCTGTAATAATCTCCTCCTCTCCCTCTATTGCTTGTGACTGTATCACATGCAGAGTTGAACCAAACAGGCGAGTGGACGTGCTTCTTCTTCCCCCTCACCCATCCCGCCTGCTCCTCCCTCGTCTCCCACCTCCTTGCCAACAATCACATGCCCACCTGCCTCTCTCTCTGCGACTGTCTGTGCACATTTGTTTATGAACGTGCAGAGTTGAACCAAACGGGCGAGTGGACCTGCTTCTTCTTCCCCCTCGCTCACCCCGCCTGCTCCTCCCTCGTCTCCCACCTCCTAGCCAACAATCACGTGCCCACCTGCCTCTCGTTACAGTCACAACACCCACAGTCACAATCACAAATATTGTCACAGCTAATATTGTCACAGCTGCAGCAGCACCTAGCAGCAGCACAGGATGTCGTTTGCATCGATTTCGGCCCAGGCATGGATGCCGGTGCACCAGTGCATGGAAGCTCTCCTGCTGCTGCCATGGCTAGTGGTGCAGCAGCCATGGATGCCGGTGCACCTCTTGCTGCTGAAACTGATCCAGGTGCTGCTGCTACATCAACAGCAGCAGAAGCAGCAGCATTGGCATCGCCAGGCGCAGCAGCAGGAATGTCGGCATTAGACACATCAACATCAGGCGCAGCAGCAGCAGCAGTAGTAGGGGCAGCAGCGTCACTGGCATCAACCATCCAATCAGCAGCGGCAGCTGTTGTGAGCCGGTGGGGCTATCCCCATAAGCAGCGACCCGTTATGGTGGATAGGCAGGGCGCACTGTACACCATGTCGGATGGGAAAGCACAGGTAAATCGGATTAGGGATGATGATGGTCGGAACCTTTCATACGAAAGAAATGGAACTTTTATTAATTGATTATAAGAATTTCCAGGGTTTGAAAATCCCACCCTCTCCCACCTCCCCCTTCCCCCCTGCAGCTCCATTGGTGGCGATCCCAAGCCGCCCGCTTCCTCCTCCGCTGGCCCTCCCTCCACCTCTGCCACGTCATCAACCGTGAGCGCCACATCAGCGTCGGGCTCCACGTGGCTGCCAGCCTGGCACCCGCCATCGCCGCCCAAGCGTCTCTCCTCCACTCCCTCTCGTCTGGTACTGTTCCCGGCACCACCGCTGCTACCAATACGACGTTTGCAGTCCGGTATTCTAAGAATCTGCCGAACACAACGGAAGAGGCGGCTGTGTTGACTGCTGCTGGGAAGGCTAGTGCGCAAGCGCATTTGCTCTCGTCCCGTATTGCTTCTTCCTTTGCTGCTGCTTCTGCTTCGGCTTCTTCTTCTTCCGATTCCTCGTCCTCCTCCTCCACTCCACTCCCTACCATCTCCTCTCTCCTCCACTCCCCCAACTCCTCCCTTCTGGAAACCCACGTGTGGGTGGGGAGGGATGGGCCGAGGCGAGTGAGTGTGCGTGTCGGGGGAAGAGTGAGGAGCGAAGGAAAGGGAGGGAGTGAGGGAGCGAGTGAGGGAGAGAGTGAGGGAGGTGGCAGCAGCACCAGCACCATGGGAAGGTTGTGTGGTGCTACAATGATGGCTAACACAACAGTGGATGAGCTTATAGCGAGTATAGGACAGGGCGATCTGTTGACTCTAGACCCTGTGACTATAGCCCTGGGCGGGGAACCCTACCTGCCTCGTCCTATAGCAGCTGTACACGTCAGCAGGGGGGATGACGGAAGGATTGAAGGGGCAGGAGAAACGGCAGGAGGAACGGCAGGAGAAACAGCAGCAGTATCGCAAGCACTGCAGCGGCTGCAGTGGCTGAATGCCGACCTCAGGAGAGGGTGGCTGTCTGGGGATGCACGTGAAACGGTGAGTGATTGACTCTAATCAAGCCGTTCACGTGACTGTGAGAGAGTAATTCAAGCCGTTCAAACGGCACATAGCACTCTCGCAGGCATTGCAGCGCCTGCAGTGGCTGAGTCTGAACCTGAGGAGAGAGTGTCTGTCTGGGGATGGTCGTCAAGCGGTGAGTGATTCATTCTCATCAACACAGTGAGCGAATTATTTGAGTCATTCAAATGGCAGGCAGCAGTCTCGCAGGCATTGCAGCGGCTGCAGTGGCTGAGTCTAAACCTGAGGACAGTGTGGCTGGCTGGGGATGCACGTGAAATGGGGAGTGATTGATTGTAATCAACACGGTGAGCGAACAATTCGAGTCATTCAGATCAAACGGCACATAGCACCCTCGCAAGCATTGCAGCAGCTGCAGTGGCTGAGTCTGGACTTCGGGTGGGGAGAGTGCGGCTCTTTGAGATGCTCGTGAAACGCGCCCCCTCCCCTCCCTTCCCCTCCCTTCCCTTCCCCAGCCCATCCAGCAGCATCTGGAGGAGCGTGGTTGGGCCCTCCTACACTCCACTCTCGCCCGCAACCCACCTGCTCTGCTGCCTGCTGCTGCTGGTGCTGCAGCCGATGCAGCAGGAGCGGGAGCAAAAGCAGGAGGAGGAGGGGAAAGAGATGGATTGGGAGGTTCGGCCTCAGCAGCAGCAGGAGCAGATGCGTTGCCGGAAGCAGCAGTTGTGTTTGCTGACCTGCTGACATCATCCCTTGCCGATTTCCTCATTGCTGACATCAGCACAGAATCAGGCAGCTTGATTCACGAGCTTAGATGCACCAGCGGGCGCCTCTTCTCCCCCGTGTGCGATTTGACTCTCTGACATTCACCTAGTAATTCAATTCAACGCAAAAGAATGGACCTACCATGTAGCCGACTTCTCTGAATGCAACGGGGTTACAGAGTTCTTTTCCATGTGCTCTTGCAAAATCTGAACTCAAGCCAGATGGATGCCGTATACATCCTATACTAAAAAGGCTGGAGAATTACCAGGGATGTGTGTGTCAACTCCTGACATGTGGTGGGGCCTTTCTTGCAGCCCCAATGAAGTTACGGTACCAGGGCCTTTCTTGCAGCCCCTAATCCCTGGCAAACCACCTGGAATTCTCTGAAGTGTCTGGAAAGGGATACCGACTGCCGGTGCATGCACGGTATGTATCAGTCACACTGACTGAGTCCTGTGGGGTAGCTAGCCTTACTTGTCGCGGTTACGGAAAGATGCAATCTCACGCACTTCAGCTATACATGCTTCGCACGAACAGAGTTATGATCGATCAAATCTATATATAAATGACAAAGCAGCACATATGTTACAAGCTTCAGCCACCACATGATGGACCAACACTCCAGAAATGAACAAAATAAAGAACAAATGAATGAACTGCAACTAGAAACGGCGGCGGGTGGTTAGCGTGTAACCAGGGGGGTCGAAGTAGCACATGAGGATGTAGAGAGCGGTGGGGATGGGTGCTTTGGACTCAAGGCAGGAAATCTGCAGAATAAGGGGAGAGAGGAAGAAACCATGGGGGGTGGAGAGTAATGAGATATAAGGGAGGAAGGTGAGGGGGAGGAGAGGGGGAGGAGAGAGGAAGGAGATTGGAAGGAGATGTGGGGAGGGGAGATGAAGGAGAGGGGAGGGAGATGAGGGATGGGAAAAGAAGGAGAGGAGGATGAAGAGTGGAAAGGTGGGGTGGGTGAAAGGGTGAGGATGAATAGACAAAACCACGGTAATGAGAGGAAATGAGTGGGGAACGAGCAAGGAGAAGCAGACAAAATAGGCATGTGCGCCACCCCACATCACAAACATGCCACCACACACACCGTTCCACATCCGACGGCTGTGGTTGTGATGCCGACGATCTGACGGTAGTTGTCGCACGAATCAAAAGGGGAGCAGGTCTTGGTGGAAGGCTGGTGGCGTGAGGGGAAGCGCGGGTAGGCACAAGAAGACACGAGGAATAAAGTATTATATATATATATACATACATTCATACATAAATATTTGTCACTTGTTATTTCATCGGCCTCAAAAGAAAAGGGGTGAGGGAAAGGTGATACGCGAACAGCGGGGGAGGAAGAAATGCAACAGAAGATAGCTGTTGAGTGAGAGAAAGTAAAAGGTGGGGATTCGGCTCACACACACTAAGGCAGGAAACTCACGTCTTATTTCTGTTCCTCATATCGCACACTCACATCGTAGTTCTGCTTTTCATAGAGCCAGGCGCTGATGGCATCAGAGGGAGCGCTGCCTTCAGGTGAGGCAGGAAGGGAGGAAGAGAGGAAGCAAGGGAGGACGAGAGACGTGAGGGAATCACAGACAGGCAACTCACATCGTAGTTCTGCTTCTCATAGAGCCACGCGCTGATGGCATCAGAGGGAGCGCTGCCTTCAGGTGAGGCAGCAGCCGACTCAAACCCGTACCAGCTCACACCCCGAGCCACGGCTGTAGGTACGGTTGTAGCGGCTAGAGGGAGGAGCGAGCCGAATGGGTCTAGAGGGGCAGAGCACAGTGCTGCTGTCTGATTGGCCGCCCACTGCTGCGCTGACGTGGCCAAGGCATCGCTCCAGGTCAGTGCTGACAGGCTGGCAGGCGCCCTGATTGGACGAAAGCGGTGACATGGGCAGAGAGGCAAGTGACAGTGGGGATATATAAGGGCGGTGAGAGTGGTGAAGATTGGTACAGAGTGGTTAAGTGGGGAAAGGCAGTGCTGGAATATCATATCAAGAACACCATCACCACCCGTGGACGTGCAACCATGCACAAGCATCTGTGCACATGCAGTGCACATGCACCCATGCAGTGCACATGCACCCATGCAGTGCACACACACCCATGCACGCACACAAATAGACAAAAGTCTCCGCCCACCCACCTCTCTCTGTTGATAAGCGCCAGCAGCTCCGCCCTCCCCACTCCCCCCAGCACACCCGCCCCTCGTGCAGGGGGGGGGGACGGGGGGGAAGGGGAAGGGGGGCGCAGCACAGGGGGAGGGGGGCGGGGAGGGGGGGAGCGGGCGGCAGGGGGAGGAGGGGAAGGGGAACGGAGTGGGGGAGAAGGGGGAGGGCGACGAGGGGGAGGTGGGGATGGGGGAGGGTTGGGGGAGCGAGGGGGGGCGGGGGGAGGGGAGGGCGGTGAGGGAGGGGGAGGAGGGGAGGTGAGCCAAGGGTGTAGGTTAGAGGAGGCTTGGGAGTTGAAGAGGCAGAGGAGGGTGAAGAGGGTGGTGGGGGAGGGTGCCTTGGCCTCTGAACATGTGATCTGCGATGAGAGGGGTGGGGATGGGCAGGGGGAGAGACAGGGGGGAGTGACAGGAGGGGACCGATTAGAGGAGGCTTGGGAGTTGAAGAGGCAGAGGAGGGTGAAGAGGGTGGTGGGGGAGGGTGCCTTGGCCTCTGAACATGTGATCTGGGATGAGAGGGGTGGGGATGGGCAGGGGGAGAGACAGGGGGGAGTGACAGGAGGGGACCGATTAGAGGAGGCTTGGGAGTTGAAAAGGCAGAGGAGGGTGAAGAGGGAGGTGGGGGAGGGTGCACGGGCCTCTGAACATGTAACCTGAGATGGTTGATAGGTATGGGGTCAGGTATGGGCGGAGGGAGAGGGAGGGGGAGAGGCAAGGGGGGAGAGGCAGGGGAAGAGGCAGGGGGAAAGGCAGGAGGAAAGAATAAGTGAGAGGTGGGATTTGAGTTGACTTGAAAAGGCATAAGCAGAGAGAGAGAGAGGTGCAAGACACAGCAGTGAATGTTGAGAGAATGTGGAATCAGAGGAAGAGGGAGAGGCATAGGTGATTCCTGCAGCAGTTCTAATTAAAGTGCCACAACCCACCATGCCACACCCAACGGCTGTAGCAGCCTTACACCCACCATGCCACACCCAACGGCTGTAGCAGCCTTACACCCACCATGCCACACCCCACGGCTGTAGCAGCCTTACACCCACCATGCCACACCCAACGGCTGTAGCAGCCTTACACCCACCATGCCACACCCAACGGCTGTAGCAGCCTTACACCCACCATGCCACACCCCACGGCTGTAGCAGCCTTCCACACAATCTGCCTGTAATTGCTGCAGAGCTCCCCTGGTGCACACGTGTCAGCTTCTGACTGGTCAATGGGACATTGGGGGGACGGGAGGAGAGGAGAGAAGCAAGGAAAAGGAGAATGTAAGATAAGAGAGAATGTACACGAGGGATGAGGGAGAAAGGGGAGGAGGGACGAGCGGAGAAGAGAAAGTTAAGGGAGGAGCGGGGACAGAGGGAGGGAAACGAAGAGTAAAGGAGGAAGGGAGAGTGGGATGCTTTTGAGTCGACTCAAAAGCAGACTCATTGCCCGCGGGAGGGGAGGGAGGGAAGCGAAGAGTAAAGGAGGAAGGAAGAGTGGGATAGCAAAGCGGGTAATGAGGAGGAGTCAGCAGATAGGAACGAAGAGCCGTGGGTACCGAATCAAATCAAATCCAACAGGCGTCTCAACATACCATGAAGTCCCCCTAAACCCTAAGATCAACTCTTAGGCTTCAGAAGGGCTAGACTCTTCTGAGTTGAGAAGGAGAGGGAATCACAGACAGGCAACTCACGTTGTAGTTCTGCTTCTCATAGAGCCACGCACTGATGGCGTCAGAGGGAGTGCTGCCGACAGCACACATACACGCATACATTCATGCACTCACCTCATCCCCTGCTCACACACTCACACCCTGATCCCACACTCACGTTGTAGCTCTGCTTCTCATAGAGCCATGCGCTGATGACGTCAGAGGGAGTGTTGGCGGAAGCACACATACACTCATCCATTCATCATGCACTCACCTCATCCCCTGCTCACACACTCACGTTGTAGTTCTGCTTCTCATAGAGCCACGCACTGAGGGCGTCAGAGGGAGTGCTGCCTGCACGAGCGGCAGCAGCCGACTCAAACCCGTACCAGCTCACACCATACGCACTGCCGCCGCCGCCGCCGCTGCTGCTGCCGCTCGTGCTGTTGCTCGTGCTGCTGCCACTGGTCTTGCCACTGCCCTTTTTGCTGCTGCTCCGCTTTCCCACCAGAGGCGAGGTTGTAGCAGCAGCGAACAGAGAGGGGAGGGTGGCAGCGGCTACAGGTATGGCTGCGCTGAAAGAGAGAGCTGAGCCGAAGGCGTCTAGAGGGGCCGAGCAGAGGGATGCTGTCTGATTGGCTGCCCATTGTTGTGCTGACGTGGCCAATGCGTCGCTCCACGTCAGCGCTGACAGGCTGGCAGAGGGGACTGCTAGTCTGCGATTGGTGAGGGAGGGTGGTGGGTGGGGGAGTTGAGAGAGGAATCACAGAGAGGCGATTACACATCTGCAGAAAGCAAGGCAGCAAAAGCACGAGAGCACGGGCAAGACTACAAAGGGGTGTAGTGAGTCGAGTTTTGAGTCGACTCAAAACTAGAGCACGGGCAAGACTACAAAGGCACGACAAAACGAACAAGCCTTGCCACCAAGCAACCTTCCCTTCCACCCTCCCTTGCTTCACACCATGCACCATGCTATTTCCCCCCTCCTCTCCCCCCCCCCCCCGCTCACCTCGCTCCATTTATCCCCTGCAGCAGTGTCTCTCTCCCCCCTTCCCCCACGCTGGTCACCCCCAAGGGGGAAGAGCGCGGTTTACCATGCTATGCACCTTCCCCCCCTTTTGAGTCGACTCAGAAGTTACCATGCTATGCACATTCCCCCCCTTTTGAGTCGACTCAGAAGTTACCATGCTATGCACATTCCCCCCTTTTTCCCCACCCCAACCTCCCCCCCGCTCACCTCGCTCCATTTATCCCCTGCAGCAGTGACTCTCTCCCCCCTTCCCCCACGCTGGTCACCATGCTATGCACATTCCCCCCCTTCCCCACCCCAACCCCCCCGCCCCCCCCCCCCGCTCACCTCGCTCCATTTATCCCCTGTAGCAGCGTCTCTCTCCCCCCTTCCCCCACGCTGGTCACCCCCAAGGGGGAAGAGCGCGGAGGGGGAGGGCTGGGGGAAGCGGGCGGGGGGAGGCGGGGGGGAGGGCTCCGCACAGGGGGAGGAGGAGGCGGGGAGGCTTTGAGGGGAGGCGCGCGCGGGGGAGGAGGGGAGGGAGTGGGGGCGGAGCGAGGAGCCGGCGGGGGTGGGCGAGGGGGAGGGGTGGCGGGAGGGGGAGGGGAAGGGGAAGGCGGGGAGGGGAGAGAGAGCCAGGGGTGCTGGTTGGGGAGGTTGCCGGGAGGGTCGAAATAGCAGAGGAGGACGAAGAGAGACGCTGGGATGGGTGCATTGGCCTCCTTGCATGTGACCTGTGGTGCGGGGGGAGAGAAAGGGGAAAGGGCAGGCGGTGAGGGAAAGCAGGGAGGGGGAAAGCGGGGAGGGGAGGGATAGCCAGGGGTGCTGGTTGGGGAGGTTGCCGGGGGGGTCGAAGTAACAGAGGAGCACGAAGAGAGACGTTGGGATGGGCGCGTTGGCCTCGCTGCATGTGACCTGGAACGGGGTTGAGAGAGAGGGGAGGGGGGGGCAAGGAGGCGAGGGGGAAAAGCAGGGAGGGGGAAGGTGAGGAGGGGAAGAAAAGCCAGGGGTGCTGGTTGGGGAGGTTGCCGGGAGGGTCGAAGTAGCAGAGGAGCACGAAGAGAGACGTTGGAATGGGGGCATTGGCCTCCTTGCATGTGACCTGTGGTGCGGGGGGAGAGATAGGGGAAAGGGCAGGCGGTGAGGGAAAGCAGGGAGGGGAGGGAAAGCAGGGAGGGGAGGGAAAGCAGGGAGGGGAGGGAAAGCAGGGAGGGGAGGGAAAGCGGGGAGGGGAGGGAAAGCAGGGAGGGGAGGGAAAGCAGGGAGGGGAGGGAAAGCAGGGAGGGGAGGGAAAGCGGGGAGGGGAGGGAAAGCAGGGAGGGGAGGGAAAGCAGGGAGGGGAGGGAAAGCAGGGAGGGGAGGGAAAGCAGGGAGGGGAGGGATAGCCATGGGTTCTGGTTGGGGAGGTTGCCGGGGGGGTCGAAGTAGCAGAGGAGGACGAAGAGAGACGTTGGTATGGCCTCGGTGCATGTGACCTGGGAGTGAGAGGAAGAGGGTGGGAGGGAAAGGTAGAGAAGCAAGCAGGGTGAGGAGGAGGGAGTGTGATAGGCCAAGAGGAAGGGTGGTGTATCCAAGAGGCATTGAGACGAGCGAATGCGGGGTGAGAGGCGGGTTTTGAGACGTGTAAAAAATGGTGAGCAATGAGCAGCGGATGGGACGCATCAGTGGTTGTAGAGGTGCCTGTATCAACTCCAACACCCATCCCGTATGACACATGACACTGCACCGCACCACGCCCCATCCGACAACACAGCACCGCACCGCACCACACCCCACCTCACGACACCGCACTGCACCGCTCTGCATCTCACCATGCCGCATCCCACAGCAGTGGTGGTTCGCCACACGATCTGGCGGTAGTCCTCACAGTCGTCCGTGTCAGAGCACTGGTTGCGCGCAGGCTGATGGGAGAGGGGGGAACAGAAGGGAAGGGGTGAGGATTTGTGAGGTGCCTCAAGACATGATCTGGTGGTAGCCCTCACAGTCGTCCGTGTCAGAGCACTCATTGTGCGTGGGCTGATGGTGGGAGGGGTGGAGGGAAGAGAATAGAGGGCGACGGGAGGGTGGGGGAAGTGTGAACAGAGAGGCGACGAGGCACACACATCAAACGAAACACATTGCCAACCAACTCACACCTTGATTGCTTCTCATATGTCACACACTCACATCATAGAAGGCCTTCTCGTAGAGCCACGCAGTGATGGCGTCAGAGGGGAGACGAGCCACTCACAGCACAGCACAGCTCAGCACGAGCCACTCACACCAAAGTTGGGTAATCAAACTAGACACATAGCACACTCACACTCCACCAATCGTACACTCACATCATAAAAGGCCTTCTCATAGAGCCACGCAGTGATGGCGTCAGAGGGAGTGTTGCCGGCAGGAGAGGAAGCAGCCGACTCAAACCCGTACCAGCTCACACCATAGCTATGCGTCACACACACACCGCCAACCAACTCACATCATAAAAGGCTTTCTCATAGAGCCACGCAGTGATGGCGTCAGAGGGAGTGTTGCCGGCAGGGGAGGAAGCAGCCGACTCAAACCCGTACCAGCTCACACCATACGCACTGCCAGGCTGCTGCGACCAGAGGGACAGAGTGCTGCCAAAAGCGTCCACTGGCCCGGCGCACACCGAACCTGCTTCTTCGGCTGCCCAGGCCTGCGCCGAGCCTGCCAGGGTGTCGCTCCAGGTCAGGTTCGGGAGTGCGGCGGATGGGCGTGGGACGGCTGTGGTTGAAACAGACGCTCTGATTGGTGGAGGGGAAAGGGAGGGGGAAGAGGAGATAAAGGGGAGAGAATGGAAAAGAATGAGGGAGTGGAGTGGTAAGGAAGTTGTGAGTGTGGGTAAGAATGGGACCAGAGGAGTGAGAGGTGAGGGGAGAGTGTGCGCAACAGCGTTTCATCTCAATTGCACTTGTGGTTACATCTCTCACCCGTTTCCCCCCCCCCACCCTCATTCATCACCTCCCCCGTTTCATCTCGCCCCTTCCCCGTTTCATCTCTCACCGCGCATTGTTCATCCGACTCAGCAGCATCGTACGGTCAGCAGCGCTTAAAGTGGACGGCACGGATTTTGGCCGAGTCGTCGTCGCCTTAATCTTCGCCGTTGATTCCAACTCTACTCTCCTGCTCCCCCCGGACGGGGCGGCGGGCGGAAGAGCGGCTACGCGGGAGAGGGTGACGCGGTTGCGCCACACGGGGGCAGAGGCGGGGGATGGGGGAGAATGCGCGGAGTGGAGGAAACGCGGAAGGTGCTGGGGGAGCGCGGGGGCGGCGGAGGCGCGGCGCGATTTGGCGGCGGAGGCGGAAGGGAGGGCGGATGGGAGAAACGAAGCGGGTGCATTGTGCGATGATGTCGGGGTGGACTGTAACGAGGATGGGAGGAGCGACGCGGCGTAAGATAGTGTGTGGCGAGGGAGGCGAGAGTACGTTAACGGCTGACTCGTCCCTGGCTCGAGAATGGGGGTAGGGGGAAGTGTGTGGGGAAGGGGGGAGAGGGGAAGAGGACAGGGGAGAGGGGGGAAGAGGAGGGCGGAAAACGAGATTCGCGTACGTGCTCGCATGCAGCATTCGCCAAACGATAAAAAGTCTTGTCTTTCGAATGATACGTCGGTCGCGGCGGCTGGCGTTCGCAGCCTTGTCGTAGTGGCGTCGAATATACCACCAGCCTGTCGCAAAAAGCGAAGCTACCCTCGAGGTGACCAAAAACGAAGCAGAAGCTACCCGCCTGTTGATTTTATATGTCGGCGCTCACATGAATTCGCGAAGCCGGCGCCGCTCGATGCGCTTTCCAGCGGACGTATCGCGAAGGCCAGCAGCGCCAAAGCGACGACTGGAAGATTGCGCGACAGCTGTCGTTCCCTGCGACGGCTGCGACTCGTCGTCGCGCAACGTCGGAAAACCATCGTCGGACCCTTTGGGCGACAAAACGCAACTTAATTCGCGGCGTCGTCTGGAGTGAACGAAAGCTCGCGATGATTTTCGCGCGGTAATGAATCCTTGATGGAAATTCCGGCGTCTGACGCTCATCGACCTTTGACAGGCTGCAAGCACGCCATACCCTCTTCGTGCTGAAAAACGCGATTTGCTTCTGTCGTCGCGTGCGGAGAGGCTACGCGTGCGAAGCAATGGCAGGCGAATTACATACTCAATTCGCTCAAGGGTGTGCTGCTCGTACGCTCGACCCACGGGACAAATCGGGTGGGTCGGAACGACGCGCGGAGCCTTACGAGGTAGGACTACGCGTGGAGTAAAACAAACGAAAGAAATGAATGAATGGAGAGGATGGTTGGTGGTGAGTGAGGTGATATGGTGAGTGTTGGTTGGATATGTGAAGGTAGATAGGATGCCTCCTAGACTGGAATCTGGGCTAGAGAGCTTCTGTTCTGCCACACTGAACAACCACAAGAATGAGATGCATGTAAGACAAACGAGACGAGACCTGACTGTAGTGTACGACGGTTACCGGTCTTCGTGTGGTGGCGATTTGACGAAGAATTGTTACACGTTTGGGGAGGTCGCCTTGGCGGCGGAATTCGAAGAACTGAGCGGCGAAAATGGCACTGTCGCGCGATGCTCTGGCTGACCAACGGGAGGCTGGGATCCGTAATTTTGTCGGATAGCCACCAGTCGTTACAGTTTCGTTACTGCTGGCTGGCGGCAGCATGCACCTGCTTGCGCGCGAAACGCCGCATGGGTGATGGTGAGGTGTGTCATGTCAACATGCCTTTTCTACATTAGTGTTTCACAATATACTTCAGATATCCACATTCGCCAATGAAGTATAGTGATACCGCATCAGCTAGTATAGCTGCTCCGCTACGTGAGTGAAAAGTGGTTCACCGTCAGTGATCCTAGACCGCACTGCTGTGGTGCCTGAGCCCTTGTTGCATCGACGGCTCAAAACAGTTGGTGCTTGACTGTGCGCCATGATCTATGGACCTGCGTTCCCTGCACAGCTCCTCCTGACATCAACAGGTTGTCGCACAGCGAAAAAGGTACACGCGGTCGTCCAAACTCCCCTCAGTGGAAGGTGTATCATTTGTCGCAGCCTCCTTGGAAGTATGCGCACGACACACCTGGTGGGGTGATGTGATGGAAAACTACGTGCGACCATGTGGTTTTGTGCGTTTTCTCTGGGTTAGTATGGGTGGCGAAACCAGCATGATGCTTGTGTGTGTGATGCGACGCGGGGGAGTGGAAGGGTGCGATTGGTTTGGACGACCGACGCGACGATGACAGGCCAGGCCACACCAGAGGCGCAAAATCCTTTGACTCAGGCTCCAGCGCAGCATGTTTCCCCCTTCCCCCCGAGTTTCTGAACCTGTAGAAATCGCAAATGTTCCGTTCCGACGCTCAGGCTCCAGCGCAACATGTTTCTGCCCCACCGCTCCGATCCTCACACGCCACCAGGGCTGACGATTCAAGGGCAAATGCCCTTAATGCCCTGAACATTAAGGGTTGGGTTTGGCCCAGCTTCCGAATTTTAAGGGTTGGCTTTGAGGGCAGCCCTTTCCCGCAAAGTGCTGGTTGTGGGCCTAACCCGGATTTCAAGTGCAGATCCCGCGGCTAGCCCTTATCGTCCCATACTAATACCTCCCTCCCTCCCATTCGCTCACCAGTCCCCCCACCTCCTCCCAGCCACTCCCCTACTTCCTTCTCCCATCCCCCTCAAATCCATCGACATGTTTCGTACCTCAGCCTATTGCCTAGTTGGCTCTTAGTAGTTTGCCTAGGATACGGTATCCCTGGCGAAGTGCAAAAAAGTTGGTAGCCCTGATTTCAAGTGCCAGGTTTGCTCTCAGCCCGGAAATTTCAGGGCAACTTTTGGGGCACCTCAGCCTCTCAAGTTCTGGCTCCAAACCAATCGACAGCCCTGCACGCCACTCCTTCGCTCCATCCATCCCCTCCCCCAACTACTCGCCGGCGCTGCTCGCTTGCTCAGTGCTCCCCCACCGCTATCCACTTCCCCCGCTTCCGCCCCACCAATTTCCTCCCACGAGACCTTGTACAAAAGCCATGGCTTCTTGCCTCGGCTTCATTAGTACAGGCAACAAGCCAGAGCCAACCAACCACCGTTGCTTGTGAATTTGTTAGTTTTTTTTTCTCCAGACGGCAAGCGAACATCGTCAGCTAAACGAAACCTTTCCCCACCGCAAGCCAACGAACTTAGCGCACCGACGCGCAGCAGCCGCCGCCATGGGCTACAAATCGCCCACGCTCGCCGTGCTTTTCGCGCTGCTCCTCGCGACGTCGCTCGTGTCCGCGGATGTGTCGTCGGAGCGCCTCATCGACGAGGTCCGCGCGCTCACGAACGCGCTCAAGAGCCGCCCCAACTTCTCTTTCATATACCTCGCCGCGAAATACGTGCTCAAGAAGCAAGGTCCGTGCGCCGCGGCGTTTCGTTTGTAGCGTGATTTGCCAATCGGTGAGGTATTGAACGGAATGCTGCTTGTCGCGTGCTTTCAACTATCCGCGCCCGGTCATAGCACCTGGTGAACGCCGCGCCCAATCTCCGCCTTTTCTCCACCTCCCCCCGCCGAACCCCCTCCGTTCCCCTCCTTCCCCCGCCTTCCCCCGCCTTCCCCCGCCTTCCCCCGCTTTCCCCCGTCGCCTCCCACCAGACTCTCTCCTCGCCAAGTACGGCGCGGACGTCCTCCCGAACGCGGAGAGGAAAACCCTCCTCATCCCAGACAACACCGCCGTACTCCGCTACTTCAACGGCAAACTCCCCGATACCCAAGAGGAGGTCGAACAGCACTTAGACACGGTGCTCATGAACGTCCTCGACGGTTCCTTTACTATTGCGGAGCTCCGAAGCGGCTCGTCCTTCCCCACGGTTTACCAGGACCGCCAGCTGGTGCAGATCGATGTGGGGAAGGGGTGGCTGAAGCGCGGAACCGGGGTGGCGCTCGGGCAGGCGGGGTCGAAGCGGAGGACGTGGTCGCGGGTGAGCGATCCGGGGATGTACAAGGGCGATCTGTTCATAGCGCACGGCGTGACGAACGTGCAGAAGCCGTAGAGGGGAGCGCACCAAGACACGAACTCAGATTGGGCAGTAATGCGGAGGAGGTGGAGCGGGTGAGCGACCCGGGGATGTACAAGGGCGACTTGTTCATAGCGCACGGCGTGACCAACGTGCAGAAGCCGTAGAGGGGAGCGCAGTCGGCTGCTGGTGGGGCAGGGAAAGATGGGTGGTTCGTTTGTTGAGGGACCTATTTTGCTCAGCATCATTTTTGTACAGCAACAACTCCTACTTATGGACTGTTTTTTAGTGGAATGTTGGGTGCTTGACAAGCAGACTAAAGTTCCTGAAGTGAAAAATAAGGTAGTAGACTAAATGCCGCTAGATGTGCATACAGCTGGTATGGCCAAGCCAAGCAAACAGTGACTTAGGTAACAGGATACTCCCACACTGCGAACCACAAAGGCAGGGAATCGGAAGTCGAGCACCAAGTGACGAGGAATTTGATTTACAGTTAGTACGTAGTGGAGCAGAAATCATATGTTCGGTGGAACAGAAATAATATGTTCGGTGTAACAGTTTGATAAGTTTCTGCCGCATGAACGACTTTTTGGGTAACATGGCTTCGCCAGGCCCATCATTCCCTCATCCATCTTGGGATTGTTTCGCAGCTGACGCATATGGTCTGGAGCAAATGATATCCCACGTGGCTCGTGATAACTTGTCTTGGGGATGCTTGTCGCAAACGTGTAGGGGCCCAGCCTCGTCGCCCACTAGGATGGTGCGCTTTCGTCCAGCACACCGACCCTGCTCCCACGCTATAGGCGAAGCGGAACCCCACATCGCCAACTCATCGAGCAGGCTTGTATGACGTGAAAAAATTGGGCATTCCTGCGCCTCGAGAACTTCGAGTCGAGTTTTGTGCAAATTTCCAGTTTCTCCAAGGGGATAAACATGAGGCAAATGTCAAAGCGTGCTTTCAAGCTTGTGTATCCATCACGTTTCCTGCTTCCTAGCACACCCTGCTTGAGTTCCTAAAACAAGGCTCAAATCCTTGTTGATCCGTTCTCAAGCAATAATGGCAGCCACCACGATCGCCGCTAGCCAGCTTAAGGTCGTCGCTCTCAGTGGCCTCGTCAGCAGGCAGGAACAATGCGCTGCTCGCGTTGCTCTCGCTCCATTGAGCGTGAAGACCCGCACCGCCTCCGTCCAGGCGCAGCCCGTGGAGAGGGCTCAAGCCGTTGTTGCCAGGGCTCAGGCGTCTTCCGCAGATGTTGCTAAAAAGCAGGTAAAGTAACATTTTTCACACATTTTGATGTCCGTCTTTGATGTCAGGGCTGGTCCTGTCAGACAGATGCAGCAATGTGAATTCGGTGACGACTTGCATCCTAAATGAACAAGCCTTATGATGGAACTCAATGTGGACCAACTCCCCTGACAATGCAGGCTGATTCTGCCTCAGCCACGAGCACGACGTACCACTTCATTGTGGCGAACGCCAAGTTTATGCTGGACGAGGAGGAGCATTTCCAGGAGCAGCTCAAGGAGCGGCTCAGGTGGCTGCACGAGCAGGGACGTCCGCAGGACTTCTGGCTCGTGTACGAGCCCGAGTTCCTCGCGAGCTTCCCCGAGATCGCCAATCGAGTGAACAGGCCTGCTGTGGCTCTTGTCACCACCGACGCTGTTTGGATGACGTAAGTGTTCTTCAACACTTCTGAACGACTGTTGTTCCAGATTTCGGGGGTGGCAATACGTAGTACGTAGGTAGACATGCTATACGGATTAGTTCATCGCCTGGTGTGAGTGAGGATATTCACGCATGGTGGTCACGATCACTCACTCTTGCCTGACTTGCATTACCCCCATCGTCCCATTCAGATTCATGAAGCTGCGATTGGACCGTGTTCTTAGGGGAGAGTTCGAGTGCGACTCCAAGGATGAGGCCTTGAAATCACTTCCCATTGAGAACAACTACAAGCCTGCGAAGTGGGACGCTCCTTATCCCAAGTATGAGTCGAACTGGTGGACACCATACGCCGCTCCCTCGGTTTCTGGGAGGTCTTGAAGCACCCAAGAAGTAATATACCTAATACCTTCTGGCATGGCTTGTACGTGGGGACTGCCTGGGCAACTTGAGATGTTGCACGCGAGCAGTCTCTTGCTGCTGAGCTTTCAGTGGCTGGTGCCACAAGGTGACAAGGCAGGGTTATTGCCAAGATGTAACTTCTTGAGCCATGCAGGCTCGAGGCTCATCCAGCGGGGTGACCGATGCTTACTGGTAGCCCTTTGATCTCCCTGTGTACTCTGTATCTTTCCCAACTGCATATAATGCAAATGCTTTTCCTGTTTTACCCTTGGATTGGCCATTACATTGGAATGGGTGGAAAGGAAAGTACCCAAGCTATTGACAGTCAAGTACCACTCAAAAGTGCTAATTCCCATTTGTAGGCCATGCCAATGCCATTGCACCTCACATATTGATCCTAGGGCTTTCCCTGTTGCCCTTCTGCCTTCTAGCTGCTCAGGTCATTATCCCCATGCTACAATGTACTGGGTTCTGTACATGTCATCCAGATGCTTGTAACATAAGGTAACCCAAATGTTGTTTCTCCCCTCAGTGACCAATAAATACAGTGATTCATGGCAACAGGATGGGATCCAATGATGACATTCAACGATTATATATATAAATATTTGAATATTTATACGGTATACATCCTCAACAACTCACTCCTCCTAGAGTCTTGTTCTAGTAAGCGCTTGATTCCCTGCACTATGGTTCAGTGAGGCCATTGCAGCTTCCAGGGTCAGCTCAGGCTGAACATCTGGCTCATCAATTCCCCAGGTCTCCACAGCCAGGGGCTCACCAGTCTGCACCTGTGAGGTTGGCCTCTCCAGGGAGATATGTTGCTCCACCCATGTCTCAATCATGGCTGCTGCAGCCTCAGGTTGATCAGCAGGCACTTGGTGTCCAGCACCAGTCACGATCACATGAGTCAGATTCTTCCACTGCCTCCAATATCCTTCTCTTTTTCCAGATACAAGCCACACCATGCGCTCGGCATTCCAGAAGCTGTCTGTACCTTTCCAGGACAGAGTGCGCATCCATGCTTCAGAGCTGGCAGGCCCATCCTTAGCATCAAACAGGCCCTGAAACAGCAGCACAGGAACACCTGCTGCAAGAATTCGCTCCAATGCGGGTTTGCTGCTCTTCATGGTATCCTGCACAAAACAAAATCGTGCGATGGAAGACAGGAGACATACAAAGATATGGGCTTTGCTCACTGAAGGACTTTAATCTTAACTAATCTAACTGAAACACACACCTGAGCAAGGTGGAGGCGAATTGGTGGTCTGCAACTAGCCCAAATGACACTTGGTTCAGTGTGGAGGGCTTCCTTGACATGAGGCTGATTTAGAAATAAAGAAAGATACTCCACTCCACCCTGAAATCGGATAAGCAGCACTTTAGTAAGGTGCGTGATGAAATAAGTGTGTTCTGCTGGCTAATTCATGTCACTTGCAATACTTGTGAGGCATGGTATTTGGCATGTCGTCGAATATCCAGCAGCGTTGGGATCCCCGCTTTGTGCTCTATCCATTCACACAAGGCGGTGCGTGCATAATGTGCCTCCTCCCATTCTTCCCTGCCCAGTGCTCCGCCACAGTAAGTTGAGATTATGAAAAAAAAACTTACCTGCCAATAAGGTGAAATGTCAAAAGAAACACTACCTGTCAATAAGATGAACCACCCTGTTGGCCTCCTCCTTTACATAGTCTGCCTGCTGGCCAGTAAGCATGCTGAAGGCCCTAGCGACATGCTCATGAACTTGCACCTGAAGCAAAACACGGCATTTCCAGTCCCATCAATTACATGGAGCAGCCCCAAACAAAAAAGACGATTAAGGGGCGGGAAGGAATGTACCTACCTGAATCCGAGGATCTGTAAAGCCGTTCCCGATAACAATTCCTGCAAATCTTACTGGAAGGCCCTGGCCTCGTTGCTGCTGCTCCATCACCAAGCAGCTGAGCTCAGGCACATACTTCCCTGCATACGACTCCCCCGTAACAAAGAATGGACGGTCACACAAGCTCGGATGCATTTCAAAGAATGTTGAGAGGGCATTAAATAAGTGCTTTGCCACTGTAGGCTGGTCTTGAGGAATGTCCTCAATTCGTCCCGCGACACTGAACCCTGTGGCAATCGGATTATCAATAAATAGCAGACCGTATCTGCCACACATAATCAAGGCGTCAGTTGGGCATCAATTCTGCATTGAATGCGTTTGTACCATGAACCACTAGCATACCTTCTGTTCCAAGCCCATGGGTTCTTTTGCAGGTGAAGGCTGTCAATGTCGTCATCTGTTATAGCGACTTTCCAGGGACCAATCTCATAGAAATTGCCAATCATACTTGAACATCCTGGACCACCGTTAAGCCAAAGAAGAAGCGGAGTCTCTGAAAGCGATCTTGACGGTTCTGTCGCCTCGTAGTATGTATAGAACATACGAGACTTCGGAGTGGACGTGCTGACGGGAAGGTATCCTGAATACGATGGGAGTGCTTCCTTCGGCATAGATACGTTCAGGTGCGAGCCCTCTGGATTGGTAGTTGAAGGTGAGATGTTTTGAAGAGAAGTATTGCTCGCACATGGAGAATAAGTTACAGCCTGCATCGGAAAGAGTAGATAAGTACGTGATATTCGAAGCTAAGCTGATAATGTTGCAATGCCAAACACCACCTTCGCTGCTGCCACCTTAGTTGAAAAAAGAGCCGGATAGTAACCTTTTAACCCTGCTCCGACAAGTATATTAGAACGCAAAGAAATTTCGGAATGAAGTGAAAGGACATGGCGTGTATTAATACCGTAAACGGAGTTCAGAGCAGGTAGGCTAGAACTAGGTACAGCTGAAGCTGCCATTGCACGGGGACTGAGAACCATTCTTGATGATACTTTTAGGAGCCACGACAACGCAGGCATGCACGGTCTTTGAGAACAATCAATGTGGAGTATGCGGATTCGGATAGGAAGAACGCTGTGCGATGGAATTTAGAAAGTAAAATGCGGAACGTGAATGTGAAATGCGGTGCGGAGTCCAGAAACTAAAGAATGGAAGGTTGTGTGAAGGAGCTGAATCTGCCTGAAAAGCAGGCGAAAGCCTCTGCAGGAGTTGAACCACGTCGAGATTCACCAGAATCTGCTGCTGAACAAAGAATATGCCAGCGAAAAAAGTCAGCCGAATTGTTGAGTGACGACACTGCGATACATGTAACACGCCTCGCGACACACTTCCCTGATTTCGCACAAGCGATGTGGGTTCACTTTTGGCAGGCCAAATGGACACCACGTGGGACATTTTTTAGAGTACTTTCCACTTGATATTTCCACGTGGCGCATGTGATTAGGTCATAGGCTCTTCGGAAGGGGTTTGGCGAGGCTTTAACATTCAGGCTCTCCGTTTGCCTGCGTTTCGTCGCAGCGCAGCGGACTATCAGGCGCCAAATCATCTGCCCTACAGTGCGCCGTATTCGCCAACTTGGATATGTTGTCAAGCCCACAGTTGTGCTAGTTCGGTTCCCAATACTGCGTGTTGATCGCGGCGAATTGTCGAGCCTCCGATCTAGAGACCGAGTAGTGCTAGTAGCGTAACCCCCTCCGGTGTCTGCTGACCGTGCAGTCTTCCTCTTCCCACTCGCCTCGACTATAATTCGCTGTCTTTCGCGATGCTTCGCGAACCGTTGTTGCCTTCAACAGGCGGTCAGGAATCTAACACGCGTGCCACGTCAGACTCCGCAGAATCTCATGAGTATCGCGCGCGCGTGAACCTGACAATACCCCGTGGCGCAGCCACAGCAAGCGGACCCCCGCCAAACAGACGCGCGAGCGTCGACTCAGCGAATGTGACAATATCGGAGGGAAGCGACCTCTGCGCGGAAGCCGATTCGCGGAAGAGGCGAATTAGCTTTGGGAACGAACGGGGGGAAGCGGGAGGCTCGGGGAGGAGGGGGAGATGGGGGAGCGGAGGCGCAGGTGGGGGGGAGGGCGTGCGGAGTCCGCGCAGCCCGGGGCTGTCGAAGCAGGAGGTCCTGGGGGCATTTGATGCGGCGGAGGCGACGGGGGAGGCGGAGGCGGACTTAAGCGCGCATCTACAGACGGACTTTCAGACCGTTCTGAACACGGTGGGTGGTGAGAACCCTTGCTGCCACAATATCATGTACTTTCCTGAGTTTTTTCTTTCTTTATTTCTTTCTTTATTTCTTTCTTTCTTTCTTTCTTTCTTTCTGTCTTTCTTTCTTTTCAGTGATGTGGAACAATTGACAGTACTTCGCTATGTTCCCCCTGCCGTTGCCTTTGGCAGATAAATCTTTTCGTTGGGGCAGGTCTGCTCTCCATGGGCTATGCAGTCATGCTGGGCGGCTGGATGAGCCTTGTGAGTTCGACTTTCCCCCTATTTCCCCATCTATCTATCTATTTAGCTCATCCCTCTCTCTACTCCCCTCGCTCTCCTCCCTGCGCTCTCCTCCCTGCGCTCTCCTCCCTCCCTTTCCTCCGCTCTCTCTCCACCCCTCGCTCTCCTCACTCGCTCTCCTCCTCTCGCTCTCCTCCTCTAGTTCCCCTCCTCTCGTTCCCCTCCCCTCGCTCTCCTCCGCTCTCTCATGCTGCCGGATAATCTTCACCCCTTCCCACCTTTTCCCATCCCTCTTCACTTAACCACCACAATTCGTTCTCGCCCTCTTCTGCACCACGGCTCGCCTGCTCTGCCCTGCTTCTATTAACATGTCCTCTCCTCTTACCCGCCTTCCTCCTTCTCCCCCCCCTCCTCCCCCCTTATCCTTCCAATGCACCACAGCTGGTTCTTGCCCTCTGCGCGACCCTCTTCTGCACCACGGCTCACCCTGCAATTCGTCCTTTCCCTCTTTCTTCACTTTCCTGGCCCCACCCCTTTTTCGCCCAACTTGCACAGCTGGTTCTCGCCCTCCGTACTGCCCTTTTCTGCACCACGGCTCGCCTGCTCTGCCCTGCTTCTAGTCACATGCCCTCTCCTCTTACCCGCCTTCCTCCTTCTCCCCCCTCCCCTCCCCCCTTATCCTTCCAATGCACCACAGTTCGTGCTCGCCCTCTGCGCTTCCCTCTTCTGCACCACGGCTCGCCTGCTCTGCCCTGCTTCTAATCATATACCCTCTCTCCCACCCCTTCCGCCCCCTCCTTCCACCACAGCTGGTTCTTGCCCTCTGCGCGACACTCTTCTGCACCACGGCTCGTCTTCTCTGCCGTGCATTTGACGCCCTTCCGCCCTCCACCCTGCCCTCCTACCCTGCGCTCGCCCGCTTCGCCTTCGGCCCCCCAGGGGAATGGGTTGTGAGTGTTATGGCCGTTATTCCAGCGTTCTTTGTTATGGGAGATAGGGGCAAGAGACGGGAAGTGAGATGAGAGATTGGGCTGTGAGTGTTATGGCCGTTGCTCCAGCATTTCATGAACGATCACTATTCGTTCGTTTGTAAGCGCCATGCTTCCGGTCGTGCTTGTCTGTAGTGGTCAGGAGCTGTCAGTAGCGGACAGGTGGGCTGTAGTGGTCAGTGCACGCAAACCTCTCCTCACTGTCTGCCTTCCCTCTCCCCCACCCTCCCCACCTCTCCCTCCTCCTTCCATGTGCCCGCCAGGTGATGGTGGCAGTGCTATTCGAGTTCTGGAGAGCGCTCGGCATGTTTTTTACACGTGCCCTCACCTTCTACCCTCCCTCTCTCCCGTGTGTTTGGCATGTGTGTGCCCGCCAGGTGATGGTGGCGGTGCTATTCGAGTTCTGGGGAGCGCTTGGCATGTGTCTCATCATAGTGTGGCAGTCCGCCCTCATCTTCCTGCCGCCCCTCCCCACCATCTGCCTCCCCTCCTTCGCCACCTCCGCTGCCGCTGCCTCTGCGCCCTCTGCTGCTCCGCTCTGCCTCTTGCCCAGGTAGCTCCCCGTTTTATTTCTGTTCTGTGGCACCCAAGGTTAGAATCTGTTTTTGAGTCGACTCAAAAACAGCCTCTGCGCCCTCTGCTGCTCCGATCTTCCTCTTGCCCAGGTAGCTCCCCGTTCTTTCTCTTTTCTGAGGCACCCTAGGATAGAATCTGCTTCACATTTTGAGAACTCTCAAAACAGCCTCTTGCCCAGGTAACTCCCCGTTTTTTTTCTGTTCTGTGGCACCCAAGGTTAGAATCTGTTTTTAAGTCGACTCAAAAACAGCTTCTGCGCCCTCTGCTGCTCCGCTCTGCCTCTTGCCGAGGCACTCTCTCAAGCTTTCTTTTCTCAGAGAAACTCCACGATGAAATATGCTCTTTGTGAACGTATCTCCCTCTTCTCTTATTGGTAGCTAGCAACATGCTCTTCCGTTCAGTTGGTGTGGTTTCTTCTACTCCCACCCCCACCTCCTGCATGTATCAGTGCTCATGTTTTTTTACCACTCTAACTCCTTCCCTCCCCATCAAGCCAATGCACTCCTTTAATACCCTTACATATCTACTCTCTTCCGCTCCCCATCCTCCGATCCGCTCTTCTCCCTGTCTCCCCACCCCGCACCCCTGCAGGCACCTCGCGATAGCTGCCAGTCTAGCACTAGTGATCCCCACAGTGCTAGTGCGCTCCTTTACTCGCCTCACTGGTTTCCCCCTTCCTCTCCCTCCCTCCCGTCCTCTCTTCTCCGTGCCTCCCCTGCAGGCACCTCGTGATAGCGGCCAGCCTAGCGCTAGTGATCCCCACCGTGCTAGTGCGCTCCTTCGCTCGCCTCACCAACGTCGCCCTCTCCGGTGTCGCCAGCAGCACCCTGCTCTGTTCTGGTATTACCTGCCTCTCTGGTGTTGCCAATGTCGCTCGCTAGTGCGCTCCTTCGCTCGCCTCACCAACGTAGCTCTCTCCGGTGTCGCCAGCAGCACTCTGCTCTGTTCTGGTAACTCCTACCTCTCTTTGGTTCCTGGTGCTCGTCATCCCCACCGTGCTGTGTGCTCATTTGCTCGCCTCACCAACGTAGCTCTCTCCGGTGTCGCCAGCAGCACCCTGCTCTGCTCCGGTATTTCCAAGCTCTTATCAGTTCTGTTTTGAATCGTCTCATAATTCGCTCGTTCCACCAACGTCGTCCTCTCCGGTGTCGCCAGCAGCACTCTGCTCTACAGTGGTAATTCCTGGCTCCTTTGCTGCTCCGGTAATTCCTGGCTCCTTTGCTGCTCCAGTATTTCTTTATCACACTTCTCTTCTCTGGTATCTCCTACCTCTCTTCATTTGCTAGTGCTCATCATCCCCACAGTGCTAGTGCGCTCCATTGCTCGCCTCACCAATGCTGCTCTCTCTGGTGTCGCCAGCAGCACACTTCTGGCCTGTATTTTGAGTCCATCCAAAAGCCCATCTCTGTGATCAGCCTGAAGTGCCCTCTCTCCCTCGCCCGCATCAGCCTAAAGTAATGTTTTGAGGCTGACCTCATCAGCCTAAAGTAACGTTTTGAGGCTGACCTTGATGCGATGCGGGCGAGGGAGAGAGGGCACTTGAGGCTGATCACAGAGAGGAGCTTTTGGATGGACTCAAAATACAGGCCAGAAAGTAACGGTTTGAGGCTGACCTTGATGCGGCACTTAATGGTCTCGTCTTCATTTTGTTTCTTTCTCAACTTATTTTATCACCCCCCCTTCCCCCCCTCTCTTTCCCCCCCACCCTGCCAGTGATGCTAGGCACGTGGGCCAGTGACCCTTCCTCCTCTGCACCCACTGATCCCCGCGCTCACCACCACTCCACTGTGCTGCCCATGCCATCCCCTTTATCCTTGCCCCCACTGCCAGTCATGCTAGGCACATGGGCCAGTGACCCTTCCTCCTCTGCACTCCCAGACCCCCGTGATCACCACCACTCCACCGTCTCCTGGTCCCACCTGCCCATGGCGGCTGGCATCTTCATGGTCTCACTTTCAGGTGAATTTTCAGATTTTCAGGTGGACTTTCAGGTGCTGAGTTTCTCCTGCCATATGCATTCCCATGTCGCCCATGCCCTCCTTCCTTTGCTAACCGAATTCAACGCTCTAACATGCCATCTGTTTCCATGCCATGCCATGCCATGCCATGCCATGCCATGCCATGCCATGCCATGCTATGTCCCACCTCATCATCAGGTCATGCGGGTCTGCCATCCCTCCGGCGCAGCATGCGGACACCACAGCACTTTGACCAATGCATCATCGTCACATTCTCCTCCATGTTCCTCCTGTGAGCCTGTCGCTATTTTCCTCTTGTGAGTCTGCCGCTTGTTCCTGCAGTGATTTCCCCGCTTTCCTCTCGTGAGTCTCCCACCGTGCTCCTGCTCGGTTTCCATTGCTGAGCTGTAACCTGAAACACCGAGCATGCAGACACCGCAGCACTTTGAGCGAGGCATTAAAGTCACATATTCTGCCAATGTTCCTCCTTTGAGCCTATCGCCACTGTCCTCTCGTGAGTCTCCCACCACGCCCCTGCTAGGACTCCACTGCTGAGCCATAACCTGAAACACCGAGCATGCAGACACCGCAGCACTTTGAGCGAATTATTTAAGTCACATTCTCTGCCACTGGTGGGCTCACAGGTCACATTCTCCTGTGGGCCCACCAGTGCGTTTCTATTGTGAATGCACCGCTCTGTTGTTTCCGTGAGTCCTCCACTGAGCCTGAAGCACAGACTATGCAGACACCATGGTGCATCGACATCGCATGCTCCTCCCGTGAGTCCACCGCAATGCTCCTCCTGTGAGCCCACCGCCATGCTCCTCCTGTGAGTCCACCGCCATGCTCCTCCTGTGAGCCATGGGCAGTCTTGCTTCCTTCTATTAGAAGGATTTCGCATGGATGTGTACTCTTCAGTAGCTTGTCTCAATTTCTTCACCCAATTTTCTAACACTCGTTCCACCAGCTATGCCACCATGGGTGGCTTCGCCTACCTCTACTTCGGGGACTCCGTGCGCGTGCTGGTAACCGCCAGCCTGGATGACGCTGGAGCCGCTGCTGGCATCATACTGCTCCAATGGGGTTCCGTTTCCGTCTCCCTCTCCGCCCTGCTCTCTCTCCTCGTCGCTGCCAGTGTGTTTACAACCATCCCGGTATGTCAACGTGCTTTCAACTGAACGATGCCTGTAGTCTTGTCACCATTCTCTCTCCTCTCCCTCTCCCTCTCCGCTCTCCTCTCTCTCCTCGTCGCTGCCAGTGTGTTTACAACCATACCGGTATGTCAACGTGCTTTCGTGTCCCGAGTTGACTTTTGAGTCGACTCAAAAAGTCAACTCTCTCTCCTTGTCGCTGCCAGTGTGTTTACAACCATACCGGTATGTCGACTCTCCATTGGGCCATTCGAAAATAAAAACCCGGATTTATTCTCTCCATCTTGAGCTGTATCCCATCTTGGCACCTTAAAACTGACCCGTGGCTGCCTTTCTTGCCATCATGTTCCGAACCACCGCCCACTTCTCTCTCCTCCCCCCATCTCAACCCCTCCTTTCCATGCAAAGGCTCTGGTGTATGTGATCTCAGAGCTGATTCAGCTCTAGCACCGGCCCAAACCACCCCCCACCCCGCTCTCGCCCTTTTCCCCTTCCCAGGCTCTGGTGTATGTGATGTCAGAGCTGATTCTCGACCTCTCTGCTCGCCTTGGCCTGCCTGTCTCCTCACACAAGCCCACACCAAGTGCTGTGGATCCTGTTGCTGATGGTGCGGAGAGTGTCTGCCCTGCTGATGGTGGATTACCACCGCCCCAATGCAGCGCACAGCCAGTGCCACACCGCCACTCCGGTACCTCCTTGCTCCCCTGGTCTCACCGCTGCTCTTGCCTGCCTGCATTTGTTTTGGGCCGCTGTACATGAATTTTTTTCGAACCCACTTGTCTTAAAACCCGCGGGCCAAGAAGTTTAGGAAGGTTGGTTGGGAGTGAAAACGCTATTGGCCCACGAACCAATGGGAGTGTCGAAAATGTAGGACGAGGTCTTAGAACTCGGGAATAATCTCAGGCGTTTTGGGACACCCAACCAACACTGGGAAGGATGAACCAATTTTGGCCTTCTTGACCCTCGGGTTTGAACTCTATGTTCAGCGTTTGCGTTTGCATTCCTCCTCCCCTCTGCATCCCTGCAGCGATAGCAGAGGGCATCACCCGCCTTGCTGTCACCTTCGTCGGCTACATCACAGCATACCTCACGTGAGTCCACCTTTTCTCCTGCTTCAGATTCTCTCTCAGCTGGCAGGTAGTGGCTTCACTTCACAGTACCATGCCCTGCCCGTTTTTGCCTGTTGGAAGGAGTTACGGTTAGAGAGAATGTCCCTATTGTTGTGGCCTCTATTGTTGCAGGTACGATGTGCTGGACAGAGTGGAGTCCGTGGTGGGAGGAGTTTGCTCAGTGAGCGTGTCCATGGTGCTGCCAGCTGTAATTTTCGACCGCCTGTACTCCCACCAGCTTTCCGTTTTCAGGTTGATCCTGTTGCGTGGGCTTATTGCATTCGGGATTATCGCGGCATGCGGGATTGCATATATCAACATTTTCAAGTAAAATTATGTGTAATCCACTGACATTGTCTAACAGTTCCGAGTTTCCCATAGTCGGCACGTCATGAACTCGGTGTATGGTAAGGCCAGAGAATGTTATGGGCGCATTCACATGGCCAGCTCACCACTGTCAGCAATAGTAACAGTGGACTTGGGGGTGCCGCTCTGTGTGCCCTCAGCCTCCACCTTGTACATCACGTCCATCCCCTCCAGTACCTTGCCAAACACCACATGGCGACCATCCAACCTGCACACACAAGCAAAGCACCACACGGTTCTTCTCAGTCTCAGAACAAACCTTGCACCTATTTCTAACACAATCAGAATCAAATGGGCGGAACACTCACCAGCTGGTCTTGACAGTGCAGATGAAGAACTGGGAGCCGTTGGTGTTGGGACCAGCATTGGCCATGCTCACAATGCCTGGTAGAAGGTGGGGCAAGAAGTGAGAGATGGAAAGAGGAACAATTGGAAAGAAGCACCCGGCATCTGTAAGCAAAACAGTTTTAACAATCTGACAGTAAACTTTTTCATCCTTGACTCAATTCTGACCTTTCTTCGAACCTTGATTCACCCACATGGGATGCATGGAGATTATGAAAAAGGTGGACGGAAACATGCCAGGCTGTGTGGGCTGTGTGCTGAGGTACATACCAGGGCCAGTGTGCTTCAGCTTGAAGTTCTCGTCAGCAAACTTCTCGCCATAGATGGACTCGCCACCGCGACCATCTCCAAGAGTGAAGTCACCGCCCTGCAAAGCGAGCCGTGATTCAGCAAATCGAGGTGAGACATCACGACTTAAAACCCGAGGTCCATAGCTTTCAAAGGTAGGAAGGTTGGTTGGGGGAAGGGCCTCAACTGGCTCGCGAACTACGGTGGTGTCGAAATAGGTAGAAGCAGGTCGCGGAGTAAGAGAATATCGCGAGAGTTACTGCATCCAGAATGCAACTCGAAGTCTTTCGCGTAGGATTTCGAATAAACAGGAAAGCATTACGCGAAATCTTACACTGCTGTCGTCGTGGGTTGGTACTGTATTTTCTGATCTCGAAATTCGTTCCGACAATTCACGAAGTAGGCTGTTCTCTACTGGGTTACACCCAACCAAAGGTAGGAAGGTTGAGGCAGTTCTAAGGAACTTGAGACTCCGGTTTTAACGGCGTAAGCACTCCTGATATACGATACGTACCTGCAGCATGAACTGAGGGATGATCCGGTGGAACTTGGAACCCTTGTAGTGCAGGGGCTTGCCGCTCTTTCCAATGCCCTTCTCGCCTGCAGGAAAATAAGAAACTTTAGAATAAGCTCGTCGACCAAAAGATACCCCATATGCAATAGCGAAACTGCTTACCAGTGCAAAGAGCTCGGAAGTTTTCTGCAGGTGGGGATAGAATGGGAGACACAAGATGTGAATGACGGATTCGGTCAGTATTTCGCTGAAACATCCACACGGAAATGCACTACGCCTATGGAGACTTACCGACAGTTTTAGGGACGGCGTTGCCAAAAAGACCAATCACGATACGGCCTGCAGCGGTAAAGCACATCTCGAATCAGAATCAATGTCTGGTTACCCCCTGATCTCGACAAATTGCCGTAAGAAATGCCAAAGCTCTGACCTGCTTTTTCGCCGTTGATCTCCACATCGAAGAATACCTTGTGGGTGATCTCATCATTGGATGCCGTCTTAACCTTAGCCTGAAGTAGCGAACAAACTCTATGAAAAACGGAGAATTTGAGCAGATTCGTATAAAAGTTCAGACACTGCTTACCTCAACGTTTACGGCAAGAAGGACAACCGCAAGAATCAGAACGGCAACGACGCCTGCCTTCGCCATCGTGGCGTAGCTACAGGGAAAGAGCCTCGAGATCCACGAAGAATGCGACCGCGATTGGCGGCTGGTAGATAAAGTAGGCGAGACCAATCCTTCAGCTTCAACGTCCATGACAAGTGGGGACTGAAATGCAAATGTGTATTTTGATTGCATCCGCATCTCACCTCCGAGCTTGGGGGGAAGGAAGGGGCGGAGGCAGTGTTTCGGGGGGAAGAAGAGTGGGGGGGATTCGTGCAAGTTCGGGGTTGTGGTTTTTCCCCCCTTCCTCCCCTGATCGCGGGCGCGCAACCCAAAGAATTTCCAACTTCGCGCAAGGTGGCGATGGCGACCTCGCTCAATGCTGTAACCGCCGATTTCGCGACGGCGAAATGGAAGGACCAAAGGGCGGGGGGTTGTAATGATTGAAGGCATTTTCAGAGCATCACAGATCCACACCCCGAAACAGCTGTCTGACTGTACTTCCCCAACCCCCCCACTTCGTTCCGCGCCCTCACAGCTGTGTTCATCAATCTCAAACAACTGTACCTTACCTTCTCTCAAGATGGCTCTTGCCAATGCCACTGCCACCATCATATCCGTCTGCCAAACATACAGCTGATGTGCACTTCAGCTTCGACCATTGTCGCGACTTTTTGCTCATATTTTATTGCAGCTCAGTGACCAGTAACTTGTTTGCTTGCTAGCCTTCCTGCTCAGTATAGTTTTTCACTAGCGGGCCAACGTCAACGGATCTCGCGACTGCAGCCTTATAATCAACTTTACGACCTTAGTCAGTCTCTTCCATGGCAGCTAACGATGACAGTACACGTGCGCTACAAGATCTTTCTCTTTCGTCGGTTCCTGCAGAGGACTGTTCCAACGTCCCACCCCAAGAGAAGGCATTTCAACAATCTGCTTCAGTCGGTGGACCTGGTCCCCAAGCATCTAAGCCTCCCCGGCATGTCCATTTTGCACCCACCAGCTCAAACATCTTTGGTATCCAAGTTCCGCCTCGTGAAGAAGGGGAAAAGTCAAGATCCTTGCAGATTGCACCTGAGGATACGTGGCGCAACATTCAGGAGCGAGTAAAGGAGGCATTTGGTCATGGCAGCGGTGAACGTGAGGAGGGGGAAGATTGCGAGGAGGAGGAGGAGGCTTCAGGCAATCAAGGAAGCAAAAGCTTTCTCTTCCGCACTCAAAGTGAATGCACTTGGCAGTCACGTCGGACAGCGATCCTGGGGGCTACATTGGGTACACCTCGCAACCGCTCCCCGTTGACCAAGACACACTCACAACCATCGTCCACTATGGAGGACCTTAAGCTCAAGGACCAACCTTGACAACTGCATGAGTGCCCATCTATGGAGCAGTCCAGATTGGTGCAGAATGGCTTGCTGTTTCCATATTTATTGTACAATAACACCTTTTGTCAAGGGAGGGCAAGTTCATGCATATGGGCGTAGGTAGTATTAACAGGTTAAACAACTGTCACATGCAATTACACATCTGTATAAGCATAGGAGTACGGTGATTACACAAGAAACACTGGACCTGAAGCAGTAATGGAGGAATCTTGCAGATTGAAGCAGGTACTGTAAAACAGTGATGGATCAAACCGGAGTCAGCAGAGCAGGTGAAGAAAAGAAAGTCAGCTATTAAGGGGCTCACTAAGGAAACTGTTGGGAAAGAGGAACGGCGATGCTAGTACTGAGCTTACTCTGATAGCTGAGAGATGCCCTCAAGTGAATGCTAAACTAAGCTTCCAGCAATTACCACACGCCTAGGAAAGGGATGCTTCTACTGCAAGCGTCTGTCAGCAGCCATCACGAAAAATCTAACCCAGTCAACCTTATGAATTATTCTGCGCCTGGTTCATCGACCTCCCGTTTGGTGAAGCATAGCGTCGATCTCGTCCCCATCCTCCATTTCCAGCTGCAAACAAACATAGCATGCGACAGTTTAGAAAATGCAGATGCACACTATGGTCCGAGCGGGAAACGTCAATCAGGGAGAAACGTACTTCGGAAGGGGTCTGATCAGGTCGTAATCGTCTGCCGTCAAAAAGAAATGCGATAGCGTTCATATCAATCGATTGACGGTCACAATATGTCTGCATCAACTTCTTGAACGTAGAAGTGGACCTGATCTTGAAAAATACCTCGTTTCCATCCTGCAGACCCCAAGGGCATCCGTCAAATCCAGGATCAACGGAAAGGAGAAAGGGAAAGCGAACGTTATAATGCTCTACGGACCTGGCTCTTGACTTTGAGATTGATGTGCTGCCCCTCGCTCTTCGGCTTCTCATCAGGGCCGTGGTTACCTTGACCTTCCATTGGAATGAGCTAAAAGCTGAAACCAGAAACACCGAATCACCTGTGATGACTGTTGATCTGATGAACGTCCTGAAGGCAGGCTAGTACGTCGTGAAGGAGGAACTTTAGTTAGGGCTTGCAGCAGATTATCAGGTCCTGCTAGGCAATTCAAGCATTCAAAACATACGCGACACAATGCGGAAGATTTGGCTGGCTAGAATAACTGCAAATGTATATACTTTGGAAGCTATTTTCAATTATACATCTCAACCATGAGTTTTTCTTTCAATTACCCTCGAACTGTACTGCACTTTTCCCGGGCTCCTTGGGGGGATCGCCACCACACTGCAGGAGCCAAATCAGCAGTTGCTTACGTGACGTCATATGTGACCACGTGTGGGACAAGATTGCAGCAAATGACAGGGCTATTGCCGTGTTGGCGTCAATTTTGTCGGTCGTTTGCTTTCGCCGTTCTCCCTCTGGACCACATTCGAGGCGTATTGCGGTTGAGTGAGATTCTTTCTGTTCTAAAACGTTCGTTGAAAGGGTTAAGTCGGGTATCCAGAGTAAACAAACACAAAGTTATCCAACGATCTTCCATAGCCATGTGCCTTGGGAGTTTCCATTTTTATGGTAAATTACTTCCATTTCCTACACAAGCTCTGGCTTGTTCTTCTAGGTACCATTGCTCGAACCGCAACCATCATTTAGCAGCTCGCAGATCCGCGGATCTCGCGACTGTTCTGGAGCAATCCTTTCTGCTCTGAGCAACGGCAGTGGTGCCCTTTTTATGGTCGCTTTTACTGGCTGGAAGTTTCCTAACCAATAATACACCATGAGAAGTCTCGCGTCGGTGTCGAGGTTGCTAGCAAGGCAAGCAGCTCGAGGGTCCTGGAGATCCGGCAAGGAAGTGCGTCTGGTCCCTCCTACCTATAGTAGTGATTTCGCTCTTGTTTGTTCATTCGCAAATGCAATGAATGAAGCCGTGTTTATCAACTGGTGGTCGTTGCTCTTCCCTTAATAAATCCTTAATTAGCCATCTGAGCTCGTCCATGCTAATCTATACGAATACTCATTTTAGAATGTGTGATCGGTGTTCCTGTTACAGCTGGGTGTCGCCGTGACCCGGAGTGAAGCCGTCGCCATCCTCACTAGCCGACGCGGACTCACCACGCTTGGAGGTGAGACGTCGCCACGTGGGTGTGAGCTGTGGTGATTCATCCCGCGTAAGGCCATCCCGCGTGGTTATGCATCCGCACTCATCTCATTCTCCGGTTCTTTCTGCTTCGCAGGATGTTCGAATGCCCCGTTCGCATACAACAGCAACAGGTATGCAGCGAGATCAATGGGGACCGAACGTTAATTTTTGTGGTCTGTGCAGTTCTGTCCGCCGTTATCCTTTGCTGCGTTAAGCTTCTGACTGATAAGGATCTTATATTCATTTTCGTTGCAGAGCCGCCATGGCTATGGCTGAGTGCGTGGCGTGGCGTACGCTGGACCGTGTACGCTTCATGGCTGCCGACGCAGGTGCTGACGTGGCGCAGAGAGAACGGGGGTGCTAATGAGAGTGTAGCGTATGAGGCCAGTTTTGGGTGCATGGTTACATGGTTGTATGGGTACATGATTCCATGGTTGCATTTCATGGGTGAATGAGTGCATGAAGGTATGTAGTTAGCTCATGTGCACTGGTTATGTCATGCTCACTGTGTGATATATGTGTCAAACGGCATGCTGATCGGTCTCCCTCCCATGGTGCTGTTTCACTGTCTCCTGCAGGGTTGCCGTCGGCAGTACTGGTGCCGTCAATGGGCGAGTCAATTAAAGACGGATCCATATCTGCCGTTCTCAAAGGTACTTAAATCCAACCATTATGTCGTAACAAGTGCCAAACACTCAGGGCGGGAGGACGGAGCCAGCTCTTCTTAGGTACTTAGTGAGCCACAAGAGCCTTCTACAGAAGGCCCATTTCTCTGGCCAGATCAACGGTCCTGTTTCGAGCTTCTCGCATTCTCTCACCTCTGTGTGCTTGTTGCTTGCTGAAACTGCATTGGATGTTTTCATTGAGTGGTGTTGGCTTGCGTGATTCTAGTAATGGTCTCCTTTTGCATGACTGGTGTTGCTTGTGTTGTGTGTGTGCATCGTCTGTTGTTTGTCCTCTTCCACTGGCTGAGGCTGCTCTGCATGGCACTGGCTGGCGTTTTTCCACATGGAATCTGTTCTCATTGACTGGTTTTTATTCTACTGCACTGGCTCATGGCATGTGATCAGCGGAGGGCGAGTCAGTGGAGGAGGACGAGGTTATAGCACAGATTGAGACGGACAAGGTCACCATTGACGTGCGCAGCCCACGAGCAGGAGTCCTGCAGAAGGTGCGTGCGGCTTCTTCTCTCCTCGTAACACTCCTGAGAATTCCCAGAGTTGTGTGCTTCTTCTGCTGCTCTCACGCTTCTACCAGTGTTCTCACTCTTTCTCCGTTCTCTTATGTAAGTTGGTTCCTGTTCTTGCGTCTCACTCCCGTTTCATCTCACCCATCTCATCTCTGGCCGTCAATCTGCTCCCTCCATCTTGGCCGTCCATCTGCCCTCACAGGTAGAAGTGAAGGTGGGAGACACGGTCACCCCTGGCACCACCGTCGCCTTCGTCTCCCCTTCCTCTGCCGCACCACCAGCCAAGCCCGCAGCAGCAGGAGTACAGGCGCCGTCAGCAGCAGAAGCAGCAATCGGGCCGATAGCAGACGAGGAGATGGAGGGCGAGGGGGTGGATGAGTACAGCGTGGTGCATGGGGATGACACGGTGGAGGTGGTGGTGCCGTCCATGGGGGAGTCGGTCAACGATGGTGTGCTGGCTGCCCTGCTCAAGAGTGAGTGACGGGGTGGGAGGAGACAACTGCTAGCAGGTGAAGAGGGGAGGTGGAGGGCGAGGGCGAGGGAGTTAGTGGATGAGTACAGCGTGGTGCATGAGGATAGAGGTGGTTGTGCCATCCATGGGGGAATCGGAGAATGACGGTGTGCTGTCTGCCCTGCTCAAGAGTGAGGGGGGGGTGGGTAATGTTTGCCTGATCGCACTGCTGCACTCATCACCTGTCTCTTCGTCTGAGGCGCTAAGTGGTGCTGTTACATTTTGGTTGCCTCTTGCGCGGCTGTGCCCCTTGTCCGTTCTGTCTCTACCTGTGCCTCTAGCCCATTCTACCTGCACCTGTGCCCCTTGTCCGTTCTGTCTCTACCTGTGCCTCTAGCTCATTCTACCTGCACCTGTGCCCCTTGTCCGGTGTGTGGTGTGGTGGTTGGCTGCAGGTGTGGGCGACAGTGTGCGCATGGATGAAGTGATCGGGCAGGTGGAGACAGACAAGGTGAGCAACAGGGGTGGAGGGAGACGGCAGGGCATGTGTAAGGGCGTAGGTTCTCGCGTCAGCCATGCCTTTCCCATGCTTTCTAGTGTCCATTCTTCGTCATTACCTACTGCTCGCCTTTCTCTTCTCTTCCCTCGGTGCCCCACCTATCCTTCCTAAGAGTCCATTCCTGCTGCTGATGACCGACCATTGACGTGTGTATTCGAGACAAGGGTTCGGTGGAGAGCAAGGTGACCTTTGAGACACTCACAATCCCCCTCTCTTCCCCTCTCCCTTTGAGACACTGGCAGGTGACAATAGACGTGCGCACTCCAGATGAGGGCGTGGTGGAGGCAGTGAGCGTGCAGCTGAGCGACACTATCACTCCCGGCACGAGTGAAGGCATAACCGCATTATCCAACCAAAGGAACTCTTCCACCCCCACCACCACAAATGCATGTTTCAAAGCACCAATATTCCATTGTCTCCCGTCTGCCCCCCCCCTTCCCCCCACTGACAGGTGACGATAGACGTGCGCAGTCCAGACGAGGGAGTGGTGGAGGCAGTGAGTGTGCAGCTGGGGGACACTGTCACGCCCGGCACGCCCATTGCCGTTGTGCGTCGTGCCAAGGCCCTCCCAGCCTCCACCACGCTCGCCGACCGCGTGGTCGAGGCCGTGGAGGGGCCTCGCCCCGTGCCTGTTGCCCGCGCTGCTCCCCCGCCTCCTCCTCCCCCCCCTCCGCCAGCCTCCCGGCCCTCTCTTGCTGCTGCTGCTGCTCCTGCCGGGGGTCCTGCTTTGCCGATTATCCCCAGGCAGAAGGAGCGACGGGTAGGTTCTCTTGTTTAACGCTGCTGACTTGTAGCGGTTGAGTGCCTTACGCATTCGGCTTCTTCTCGTCAGCTATACGTTTCCTTCAATCCCCTTTCCCAGGTCTTGGTCTGAAGTCCATCTCGCCTTTCTCCCTTCCCTTCTGCCCTCACACTTTGGTTGCCATGCGCACTTTGGTTGCCATGCATGGACTCTTGTCCACATCTCAAACCATTCCCCCAGTTTCCAGGTGCCCATGACACGCCTGTGGCGGCGTGTGGTGCTTTTTGTCTCAAGGACTCACAGAACACGAGTTTCTAAGTCGGCTCTTTGAAATTCACTCTCTCGTCTTGCCCCCTCCCCCTCTGCCCTCACATTTGATGCTGCCATGCGTGGTGCCCACGTCCCCCACCCCCACTCACCAGGTGCCCATGACTCGCCTGCGGCGGCGCGTGGCGCAGCGACTCAAGGACTCACAGAACACATTCGCCATGCTCACCACGTTCAATGAGATCGACATGTGAGTGCCGTCTCTGTGTCTCTGTGACACTGTGTGAGAGGGGGCTATGAGTTACGTGTGCAACGTGTGGCGGGCTTAGCAGTACACATCAGCGCCTCAAGGACTCACAGAACACGTTCACCAAGCGCACCACGTTCAATAAAATCGACATGTGAGTCTTGTCTCCACGCCTCTGTGTCTCCGTGTGAGAGGGGGCTGTGAGTAAAGTATACAACTTGTGACGGACGGGTCTAGCAGTACACACTTGTGCCTCAAGGACTCACAGAACATGTTCGCCATGCTCACCACGTTCAATGAGATCGAATGTGAGTGGCTTCTCCATGTGGTGAGAGGTCGCCTTGAGTTGAGTGGGCAACCTGTGGCGG